CTCCTCGTTGTTTTTGCTGATACAGACTAACACAGCTACCACTGTGAAATCAATTCAATAGGTGGCTCGTTCCCCATTCACAATTCTGATTTGAGATTAGTCAGCTACTTTAACTCCATTTAATATGGACCACATTGATTTAGCACAAAACACTTGTCCTCAGATTCGGCTTCCCATCTTTTAGAGCTGTTGTTCCATTTTCCTTGAAAGACCAAATAAGAAATATATTAAACCCTATATGAGATTAGCTGCCTTGACGCAGAATGTACAAATGAACATTAACATAAGACAATAGCAGCATCTTTGACTCAAAGATGCTGCTATTGTCTTATGTTAATGTTCATTTGTACATTCTGTGTCAAGGCAGCGGGTCAAAAATATCCATTATATGGATTTTTTTTTTTTTGGTATTACAGCCTCATAACCCACTGTTCAAATGTTATGAAATATAATGTTTCTCATTGTATTCTTTTATGAAGTCAGGAATCTTTCAATAAAAGAGCCTCATTCTAAAGCTGTTAGCACCCTATTATGTTATTGCCACTGGTATGTATGTGTTCTCCAGCTGCAAAAAGGGAATGATGTAGAATCGCTAGAGTTATTGTACTTACAGCACTGTACAAGCAAGATGTAATTGGAGCATTAAAATGAATGCTCCATATGGTGAAGGACAGTCTGTACGTTAGGATATTAAGAACTGGTAACAGTGAGGATTACTTAAAAAAGACTAAAATTAAATGTGTATTTTTCTCTATTGTGCTGCATCTGGTTTCTGTCAGAATGAATCTTGTTGATCTTGGTTTCAAGGTTTCCATTCTGTGAGCTTTTAAACCAAGGTCAAGCAGTAGGCAGCACTGAGACCTTGAAGGTGTTATTGACTAGGAATATATAAGCTTTATAGCTACAACACTAATTATTTATCATTCATAGAAAGAAATATAGGTGGGCAAAATGTTATAGTTATACAGATTTTTCTATAGCTGTATACACACCAGCATGTCAATAGACAGATGATAAAGATTATGTGAACATATGTGAGCATACACATGTTTATATAAATACATGTGTGTATATCTAGAGAGAGAGAGAGATGCATATATAAAAAAACTCAATGTGAAATTATAATATGTGCGTATCCCACTAGAGTTATAGGGCTCTGTCATACTCAGGCCCATTTACATTGCTCTGATGCATAAAATGGTCTTTGAGTCAATGGATTTCCTACACCCCTGTGGCCTTTAATCAAGCCCCTCAGCTTCCCAAGGGTAGGAGTTGTGTCTGGAACACTGTGGTGCTCTGCTTATCCCCTGCTTCCAAAGCCCCTAGAAAGTCATGAGAAGTGGAGCATCAGACCGTTCCTGAGACTGCTTTAACTTTCATGGGGGAGGAGGTGAGTATGCTCTCACAAACACCCCACAATAAAGGCAGCATTTTGCCCCACCTCCAGCCCTCCATTGCTGTGCTGCGCATGGGAATAAAGATACTGAAATTGGGCTATTTGTGACATTGTAGCTGCATGAGTAATGAGACTTGAAGCAGCCTCCTGAGCTGATTTTGTTTCTGTTAATACAGTATGTGTTTGACATTGCAGCCTTCATATATTATGTCCAAGCTGAAGTATAATTACAAAAGAAAAACAACTTTAATAACATGTTTTATCAGAAATGGTTTCTGAGAGCTCCACAGGGAATGTGTCTAATCTAGGCGTTTTCTCCGCAGGCATTCTCTTTTTATGCTCCAGCAAAGTCTGCAGTGGAAATGAGACTTCTAGGCTGGTATTCCTAGCGGGGGATGGGGGTGGAGGGGGGGTGGATCCAACCAAAACCAGGTTTCATTAGTCAGAAGGCAAATGGATTTATATGGGGTTTACAATACTATCCAAACTGATCAATAATTTCGTTAATATCTTTCACTGGCCTTTAAGAGTAGCCATGTGATGTTTGAGGTGCTGTAAGTGGGTTGGAATTTTCTGAATAACACTTCCAACATTGTTGACACATTGTTATGAATGTAAGGTCAGCATACTCCTGTATCAGAATGTTAATACTTCAGATGAATTAGGTTTGTAAGGATTACCTTAGTTTTGGAGATCTTACGCCAGGCCTTTCTGTGGATTTGATTTAGTTCTGAACATCTCCTAAAGCATGTCTTGTTTCATGTTTTGTTTTGTCTGTCAATTAGAGCAAATGCATTCCTCTCTTTTGACAGCTTTAATATCATCCCACAGGCTAATCATGGGTCAAGGTTGCTTCTTTCTGAAAAAGCCAGTGAGAGGTAATTCTATTTCTTGTCAAAAGGATCCATAATTATGTGGTATTGCCTCTTTCATTCCCTTTCTATGGGACTATCATTAGTGCTATCTCCTGCTCTCTCTAGTGAGCTCTTTCTCTCCCCTCAGCCCCTGTAGACCCCACTCTCTTTTCCAGGGTCCTCTTTCTCCCCTCTAAATGCCTCCATCTCTCTCCTTTCTATCCAAGAATAAATTAAATTATTATTATTTCAGGTTTGTACCATTTGAAAGCTAGATTTTCTTTGTTTATTGTATGTCAAATTTAACAAAAGCTTAATTAAGTTATCCCTTTTGCATCTTCTTCTAATCCCACTGAAGTAAATGGGAGTTTTGCTATTGGCTTCAGTGAAAGAAAAATAAATCTGGTCCTATGTTACAACAATCTAATCTATAGGTATGTATTACTCCAGTATAAGTGATCCACAGAATCACTTAACTATGCACCTACAGGCAGTAATTAGGCATCTAAATACAGGGCCAGCTCTAACTTTTTTGCTGCCCCAGGCAAAAAAGAAGAGCACCGCCCCACAGTAACACCCCCCCAGAGCGCCGCGCCGCCCCGCCCAAACCCCCGGAGCGCCGCACCAGCCGGCCAAACCCCTGCCCCCCAAGCGTCGCACCACGGCCACGCCGCCCAAACCCCCGAGCGCCACGCCGTGCCACCTAAACCCCCGGAGCACAGCGCTGCACCGCCCAAACCCCCGCCCCTCCCAGTGCCGCGCAGCCGAAGCCCCCGCCCCCCCCCAGCGCTGCGCCACCGAAACAAAAAAAAAACCCTCAAGCGCTGCCCCGCGAACAAAAACAAAAACAAAAACACCGCGAGTGCCCCCTGCCACCCCAACATTGGCCACCCCTTATAAGGTGCCGCCCCAAGCACATGCTTGGTCGGCTGGTGCCTGGAGCCGTCTAAATGGGTCCCTGTCTAATGGGTACTGCTGCACAGTTAAATGCAGGTGCAAAATTACACCCGCATATCAGAGGGTAGGTTGGGGCCAGGCTAAAAATTAGTTATATCCTTCTATATACTTGGTCTATGCTGAATAAATAAGTATTCTGCCAATGATAAGTTAAATCGCACAGCATTCTGAGCATTTCTTAGTGAAGAAAAACAATGATACTGTAGATCCTTTATGAAGAATGTGATTTCTTTAATGGGTTCAATCAGATAGTCTTTTAATATAATGTTTGGCATTTAATTTCCTTTCCTGCAAAGCTATTTCATAATTTGATACTGATTTGGGGGGCACTTCTTTTTTGACTGAGAAAAGGCCATTTATTCCTACTCTCTGTTTCCAAAGGCCTTGTTGGAGCTTCACAGACAAGATTTTAAAGCCTCAAATGTTCAAAAATAATCTACTCAAATGGTAATCATGGCATCATAGAAATGTAGGGCTGGAAGGGACCTCGAGAGGTCATCTAGTAGTCCATCCCCACATGCTTAGGCAAGAAGAAGTAAAACCAGACCATCACTGACAGGTAGTTGTCTAACCTGTTCTTAAAAAACACGCACTAATGGGGGATTCCAAAACTTCCCTTGGTAACTTATCAAGTACATAACTACTCTCATAAAGTTTTTCCTAATATCTAACCTAAATGTCCCTTGCTGCAAACTAAGCTGATTACTGTTTTTCCTACTCTCTGTGAAGATGGAGAATAATTGCTAACCATCCTCTTTATAATAACCTTTTACATATGTGAATACTATTATCATGTCTCTCCCTCCCCCCAGCCTTTTTTTCTCTCTAGACTAAACATGCCCAAGTCTTTCAACCTGTCTCCATATATCAGATTGTCTAAATCTTTGGTTATTGTTGTTGTTCATCTCTGGACTCTCTCCAATTTGTCAATCTTTCCTGAAGTGTGGCACCCAGAATTGGATGCAGTACTCCAGCTAAGGCCTCATCAGTGCCCAAGTAGAGTGGAACAATTACCTTCCATGTCTTACATACGACATTCCTATTAATATGTCCCAGAATGATATTTGCCTTTTTTGCAATGACATCACACTGTTCACTCATTCAATTTATGATCCACTATCACCCCAGATCCTTGCAATATACATATCTACAGTTTTTTCTACTCCGGGCATACACTGTGGAGGAACTAAATGACACAAGTAAAAGAGACAAGGAAATTTCTAACAATGAGTATTTAAATAAGCCTCTGTGAAACTGAGGACATTATTTTCACATTTTCCATAATTTTGTTTTCCCCATGATTTCACCCATGACATTTTATATATTCATGACATTTTCCAAAAACATGCAAATTTTGCACTTTCCCATGCTTTTATACTGAAAATCATTTTGCTCAATAATGTGCTTGCTTTCTCTGAAAATGATTTCTTTTTTACTACAAAATATTGCAAAAACCAGGACCAATTTTGAATTCACAATTAAATGTGAAAAGGCTCGAGTGTTGGGATCCTGAATTTTGCTGTGAATATTTCACCCCCTGAAGTATTTGTATTCACTAATACAATTCCCTGACTTCCCCACTCATCTCCTGTCGTAACACAACGTGTACCAGCAAACTCAGGACGGAGTAGATCAAGGCTTTATCAGGATCCAGATCCACCAACATTTCAGAGCCCCAAGATACACTTTTCCTCCTAGCTCCTTCTCTTCCTCCCAGCCACTTGTAAAGCCTATCTTTTTCACACTTCTTGCTGGTTCTCTGAAGTAAGGCACCCCAAAGAAACCAAGCCTACCCCAGCTGTCAGGCAGCACCGTTCATTTGTGCTCTCTTCTTTCTGATCCACTTCTGCTGCTCTCCTTCTTTGATCCACTGCTGTCCTGGGTCCTTTCTGACTGCAAAGCCTGGATTTTAATAGTCCATTTGTTCCTCCTTAATTCTCCAATCAGCAAATCCCTGGAATTATCACTGTTTCTAAATGTAGAGCACCAGCTCTTCTTGTTTCTTCCTTTTCACACCGTAAAATGTATCCCCTTTATTACTAAAACATGAAAATATTTATTATCAGAATGTACTCCCATTACTGTTTTGCTGATTAATACAGTCTCTGGGGCAGTGGCATGTGAAATATTGCTTGTAGTATCTCAGAGCAGAAGCAAATCTGCTCTTAAAGCATTCTTTTCAGAGTTTAACAAAAAGAACAAAAATAAATAAGGTCTGTTCCTTGCCAAGATCTGCCTGTTTTAAACTTTTCAATAGTACAAATCATTATTAATGAAGCGCTTACCATTACACTCCCAACAGCATGGTATAAAAGTTACTGCAGTCATCCAAAGGATAAGAAGAAACACAGCAGATAACTCCTGGAGGGGAAAGATTTATGCTCTTTATGGGTTCAAGTTTACATGACAATAAAGGAATGGGGGATGTGTTATCTCTTGAAAGCTTTTGGGGGAGAAATGTGAAAGAAAATGGGATTTTGATTTTCAAATTAATGGGAAAGCAACCAGAGATCAAGGTCTCAGCAGTGGGGAAGTACAGCTCCTATCATCAGCTGTTTGTTTGGTTTTTTTAATATAAAATTGTGAAATAAAGCTGTATGACATGGAGATTTACATTACAATGGTGACTAAAGTAAATGATGTAATGTAAATCTCCATAGTATACAGTTTTATCTAAAAATAACTGAGGAGGAGCTGCACTGCTGATACCTTGGTCTCTGGCTGCTTTCCATTCATTTGAAAAACAAAATCCCATTTCCTTTGTATTTACTTTATATTAAGCATATACAACAACATATTATTGTGTCCGCTCTGCACTGATCAGTCTGTACACCCATGAGTGATGTGGGATGTGAGAGGAGTCCATATGAGCAGTGTCCAGAAAAAAGGGCCTGATCCACTCCATTGAAACTAACGGCATCTTTCCATTGACTTCAATATATGTTGGATCAAGCCCAAAGATGGGGGAGAGAAGGTTCCTTATGAGACTGGCTACTCAGTATCATAAGAAGAGTGGGACTGATCAGTCAAGGCTGTTCTGTAATGGGAACTGAGTTTATGCCAGGTCCTGGCAAAAGGGGAATGGGAGAACTCTTTTGCAATAACAGTATTCAGTGTTTGTCAGCCTAGGACAGAAGAATGTGGAAAGGAGGGAGGGAGGAAGGGGTTAGCAAAAACAAAACAAACAAATGGAAATTTCAATGCCACATTTCTCCTGCAACTGTTTTTTAACAGAAAAAGGAGGAGGAGGTCATTTTTGGTTTTGATTCATAGGGCGTGTGATTGGAAGTACAGCAAGGCTTTTTATAACAACCCAAACCCTCCCACAAGGGTTTGCACAGTTTAGCCAAGTGAACACAGAATCAGTTAATAGGCACCAGAAGTCAGAAATTCTACCGAGGGCATCAGGCTATGTTGCTCCCTGGAGAAATATGCTGAACAGAGGGAAGAGACAACAGTTCTGCTGTATTAAAAATAGGCACATGTTCCGAAATTCAGCATGTCAGCTTATTAAAGGAAACATTTACTCTCCTAATTCAATGCAGCAAGTTAATCAATCATTTGTTACTTAAAAAGAAGATTATAGTGTTAGACCTGTTCATTTTCCTTTGCTTAATTTGCTTGACAGAGTGTGGTTTGGGGATTATTTTCCCCAGATACATTTGCAACAGCTCTGGGCAAATGCACCTGTATTCTCCGTCAAGGGTCCCTCGAGAGCACAAACTCTTAGGTTTCTGGCTCCCAGCTGTCATCTCTCTTGGGTGGAGATCTGCGTCTCTCTCCCTCCTGACCAGGGTATTTCCAGGCTGAACAGTTCCCTGCCTACACTGTATTATTCCCAGCATGCCAGACTGCCTAACTAGGCCAGTGTCTGTGCTTTGCCTTGTCTTCAAAGGCTATGAACAGCTGCAATTGCCAGCAGTAAATAGGTTACCACACAGCCCTTTCTGAGCATGCACATTTACTCTTCAGGTGAAAGCATTACAGAGAAAACATATATTAAAACCAATACAAGAACCTACACGTGTTAATGAGCTTACGAGAGATCATCCCAACTCCACCAATGGCTCTGGTAAGTGATCAGTCCTTCAAATCCCACATGAGGGTTTTTCTGTGGTTACAAGTTCTTAGCGGCTTTAGCTCAGAACAAGAACCCCCCTGAATGGGTTAGGGCTGGTCTACACTGAAAAGTGTATCGGCATAGCTAAGCGTCTCAGGGGTATGAAAAATCCTCTCTCTGGAGAGACATAGCGAAGCCAAACTAACCCCCTGTGTAGACAGTGCTAAGTCAATGGAAGAATTCTTCTGTCAACCTAGCTACCGCCTCTTGGGGAGGTGCCACTGTAGCAGTTTAAGAGCTTGTCTACATTACACAGTTAAGATGACATAAGACAGCTAAAGTTGACCTAACTGTGGAGGTGTACACACTGCTATGCTCTTCCCACTGATTTAACTCTCCTGCTGCACTGACATCATAAAACCACCTCAATGAGAGGCATAGCGCTTAGGGCGATGTACTTAGAGTGACGCAATGTCAGTGTACACGCTGCGTTGCTTACGTCACCCTAAGTGGCCTCCAGGAGGTATCCCACAATGTCCATCGTGGCCACTTGGGTCACCAGTTTGAACTCTGCTGCCCTGAAGCCAGGTACACAGGCATGCGCTCCTCTCCCTTTAAAGCCCTGAGAATTTTTGAAATTCCTCTTCCTGTTTGCTTGGCATGGACAGCTCATATTGCATCGTCCCAGCTGACCATACCAGCTCCCTGCAGAAAACACACTCCTGCCTGGAGCACACCAGAGTTGGTGGATCTGTGGGATCTGTGGAGAGAAGAGGCTGTGCAGTCCCAGCTCCTCTCCAGCCACAGGAACTATGATACCTACAGACAGATTGCTCGTGGCATGGAGGCGAAGGGGCACGAAAGGGACCACACAGCAGTATCATGCTAAGATCAAGGAGCTATGACAGATGTACCAGATGGCAAGGGAGGCCAATCGTAGGTCTGGTGAGTCACCAAAGACATGCAGCTTCTACAAGGAGCTGCAAGCCATCCTCGGCAGCAACACCACCTCCATCTCCAAGAGCCCTCTGGATACTTTGCGGGAGGCTGGAGACAGTGGCCAGTGACCTGAACCCCAAGGACAACATGGTGAATGAGGAAATGGAGTTGGAGGATGATGAGAGGCAAGCGACAGGGATGTGTGGTTGCATGGTGAGCCAGGACCTCTTTTTAACTCTGGAGGGGGCTAGCCAGTCCCAGCTCTCCAGCTCTGGTGCATCTGATGCAGGAGAGGGAAGCTCCGGTAAGTATTCCTTGTGCTTTGATGCTGTAGGGAGGTAGTGCTCTGCTTTTTTTAATCAGGGTAGAAGAGATACTGAAATAACCAACACATGTTTGTATCTGCTTCTCATTCCTCTGTGCAACTAGGCAGAGGGGGGCCTGCAGAAAAGTTTGTTTATGCACACTGGGATGTCATGGGAATCCTCCATGGGGATCTTTAGCAAACTTTCTGGGAGGTACTCTGCAATCCTCTGCCAAAGGTTTCTTGGGAGGGCTGCCTTGTTTCTTCCACCCTGATAAGAACTTTGTTGCATCAATAGGCAATTACTTCTGCAGGCACCATAGCAGCACATAGGTGAGCAGCATACAGACCCGGTCTGCAGCGCAAGCATGCAGGAACTGCGCCCTTGCATCCTCGGTTACCCTGAGGAGTGAGATATCAGCTGCTATCACCCCTGCCTGTGGAAAACAGTGCCAGTATTCAGAATAGTGACCCTAGGTCCATATTGCCCTTCCCCCCCCGGGCCAAACTCACTATGGCTGGAGCTCTCGCCATGCTGTGTGCCTGCCAAGGGAAAGTGAGAAAGTGGTGTCTCTAACTTGTTTGGATCAAGGCTGTGAGTGCACTCACCATAGTGCCTCTATTTTTTTTTAACATCTGCAAATGTGCCCTTGAGGGTCTCCTCTTGCACACTGGCTGAGCGGCTCCATCTGGTAAGGAAATTAAACAGGACGAGTAAGGAAGACATGTTCTGAGAAGTGCTGCGATCCTCTGATGCTTTGGATTGCAAGCAGAAAGCATGGCGAGAGGCTATCAATGAGAAACTGTGAATGGAGAGCCAGGAGAGGAAACAGGGGCAGGAGCGGATGATAAAGCTGCTCCAGGACCAAACAGACATGCTGAGGTCCCTGATTGAACTTCAGGCAGAACACATGTGCTTGCCTCCCCCTGCAGCCCATACAAAACTGTCTTCCAAGCCCTCCCCATACTCCCCCACACACATTCCTCACGTGTTCTTAGGCCATCGTAGTACCCCCTGCACTCCACCCCAAGGGACATGTTTCACAATGACAGCTGTGACATACACCCAGCTGTGAGAGCCTTGTTGGCAAATGTGCTCTTCCTTTTCATGTTTATTGCAGAACATAGAAATGTTTGCATCAATTTTTAGTAAAAATGTACTTACGGAAAGAGAATGAATCTTTATTTGCCCCCTACATATGGTGGTTGCTGCTGAAATTCATACACAGTGGTAATCAGTGCATTTGCATTGTAAAATTAACACACACACGGCAATCATTACAAGGTTCATACTTCGGTGCAAGAAAACAATGCCTGGCTCAATGCGTTAAAGAAATCCACATTACTGTGTTTCATTGTCAAAATGTTCTTTAAAGCCTCCCTGATTCGAATAGCTCCCCAGAGAGCCCCTATAACTATCTTGGTAACTGATTGCTCAAAAGCAGCAGCCAGCCAATCCACCTCAACACTCCACTGCTGCAGAAACTTCTCCCCCTTAGCTTCACAAATGTTATGCAGAGCACAGCAGGCTGTTACGACCATGAGATCACTGAGGTCTAACCTGCCAAAAAAGCAGCACCAGCAACCCTTTAGGTGACCAAGGGCACATTCAATTGTCATTCTGCACCTGCTGAGCCTGTTGTTGAAGCGCTCCTTGCTGTAGTCAAGGTTACCAGTGCAATGTTTCATGAGCCATGGGAGTAAGGGGTAGGATGGGTCTCCAAGGATCACTATTGACATTTCCACATCCCCAATTGGAATCTTCTGGTCTGGAAAGAAAGTCCCTGCTTGCAGCTTTCTGTACAGGCCAGTGTTCCTGAAGATGCATGTTGATGTCAGTGAAATGACCCCAGGGAGCCACCAGTGCTAGCAATACCATGGAAAAGTAGAC